GGCACTTATATAGGAACTAAAACAGAACGGGAAGGGCAAGTGATATCTAGTGATAAAAATATATGAGCTGCAAAAGTCAGGGGCGCTTTCATAACTTCTATTCTATTTACAAATTAATAGGGAGTAGGCCCTCCCATTGGATCAATGACTACCTGCAATCATTGTGGCATACTATGAATCAAGTTCTCTAACCGTTCCACAGGAATTGCATTCCATGCCCTATTTAATACAATTTCTAGGGTAGGAATATCACCAATTCTCCTCCAAGTTTGGCTCAGTTCTACTTCCATATCCATCCAAAGTGCCTCTATAAGATTCAAATCAGGTGACTGCGCTGGCCACCTGATTTGCTCCATGTCATGAAGTCGCTGGTACCGATTAAAGTGATCTTTATGGCCCGGAGTGCCATCCTCTACGATCCCAACCCAGCCGTATTCCTCACAGTACTCTTGCTAAAAAGGAACAAAATGTGGTTCCATAACTGTCTCCACATAGAGTGCTGAATTCATCTTTGCTTTTACTAGAATAAAGCAAAGATTAGATTTAAGTCTGCCGCGAAAAGTCCTCCAAATCATTTTTTTCTCGCGCCCAGATTCGAATGTAATGTCAATACAATCTTCGTGGTACTCTTCCCAGGCCTTACATGTTACCCAAGTCCAAGCTGTTAGGTGGAGACAACCTGATAGACTTCAAAGTTGTCTAGGCCAATCGAGATTCGTTTCTGTAGACTGAGATTGTCTAAGAAGGCTCAGACTTTGCTCGTTTCGTTTATGACTACTAGGAGCGAAGTAGAATAGGTAAAGAAGGGTAGAATCGTAAAAACAATATTATATTGTTAAGGTCTCTTCTCCGTTGCTTGATGATGTCTAAAGCTTGGGAGGCACTTCAATATTTATATTCCACGTCCGAGTGTTCGCGGACTACATCTATTTATCATACAACTATGTACTTCTTCAATCGTAATTCGCGACATCGAGTTTTCTTCCAAGGTGCGAACACCTGTGGACCCTGAAAACCATCACACCCTCTTCTGTAATTACAATATTTCTTCTTGGGAAGCGTGCTGTCCCCAATAGTAATATCCCGATTAGCAGAGTCTTTAGACTTATGGCCTAGTTCTTAAGTCGAACTCAGTTGGTCCTAATTGTCTTCGCTATTGATAAAATGATCAGTTTTATCCACAGCTATATCTGCAAAGGTGGTCGTCATTACAACCATGGTAGGTCGTCTGACTCCGATCCTTTATAACTCTATACCCAACCAATACATTTTCTTTAAATGACTTCCTATTAACTCACAGGAAGCTATTCCACCAGATTGGTAATTAATCCCTCAGTCTGCAACCCTTGGTTGCTCTCTGGGTAGTAGGTTTCAGTAACCATTGTAGTATTCAGAATCACCCCATGACTATAACATATTCCAAAACCCAGTTGCAACACTCCGTGAAGTTCGTTGGCTTTTTTGGTAGTGTCTTTTGGAGTTCTAGACTCTTCTGGTAGATGTAAATGTATTAGTCTCTAGTAGAGATCCTTTACCATTTGATACCATCTCATTGTGCGAAATCGTCCCGTTACCTATGGCCCCAGCCAAAGGTGTCATGTCTTTGAAGCCAAATAACCCTCTGAGTAGTTGATGGATTTACTCTATTCCACTTCCCAGACCTAGCCGAAGGTCCCCTCCCAGTTATCCTGCGAACCGGATCTGGTCGGTCAGACGGCAACAATGTATATGGTGTTATTCTAACACCTTCAAATCTATGGTACTATAGTCACAGGACGCACCTGAGATTAATATATATGATGACGCGCGGGCCCCGTAAGGGAGCCAGATGGGGGTGTTGGAGACCAGAGATTCTGATTCCGAGTGGGGTTACCCTACTTAGGGTGGTTCCTAGGCATCAGGTTCTGGTATTCCTAATACAAGCACCCAAGTCACAGGTTAAAAAGGATGACTTATCAGTCCATAAAACTTGCATCCACTTATCAAAGGTCCAGTTTTACCTCACTTGACACCAGGCAACTCGGATTGGGTGATTGGCTGGTCAAATTGCCAATTTTCTCTGTAGGACTCGCCAATTGTATCTCATAGAATGCATAACCCACTTAATAGTATCTGGACTGCATGTGTAATTCATTTTGACACAAATAGCATCCCAGCTACTATGCCATGTTCTTGTGTCACGTGTCACAAAGGCTTCCAGTCACTGTTTTTTGGCCTTGTCAAATATTAGAGGCTGGCCAGTCTGTTTACTGTTGGAGGGTGTGCCCGTTACTTGTGTCCGTTGATAGATCTTTAACAAATAGTTAGCCATCATCTTATTCTCATGATGATACTTGCTCCATTGAAGTTGAACTTCTAAGGTGACAATTCCCATACAAAGTGTTCAACTTCGTGGCTATATACTTATCTTTTGACACGATCGTCGTTCAATTTTTAAATGTCACCAATCTTTGTCCAGCTCTACCTTGCCTCATCACGGAGTGCAATCATTTTAATACGCTCATCATGAGTTGTTTCGCGTTGTCTGACACCTTGTGGATCCTGTTCGTGTATACATTTTTGCTTCATAGTTGTTGTCACAGTCTTGTTATGGTGTTTATGGGTGAGATGTTGTGTTCGCAATGTTTTCACCCCTACCGGTAGTTATTACGTTCCACTTCCGAGCTTGGTGATCAGGGGGTGCATACAGCATAGAGGGGCTTGTACCACCGCGCTGTAAATACCCTTACCCCCGAGTTCAAGTACTCAGGCAGGGGGAGGTTGAAGGTCTCGGTACTGTAGGTGTCGTACTAGTTCCTGTGGGGTAGGATATACAAGTAGAGTACGTATATATATTTCGCGTTTTGTATGATAAGATACTTGGATCTTTTCAATATCATAACCCAAGTTGTACCATACCGGTACTGTACCCTGATTGCCAACAACGGAGCTTCATAGACCACCGTGTATCCGAACTCTGGGTCCAGCCGGTCGTCTGTTCTCGGTGAAGTCTGGGGTAACGAGCCGGGCAAGGTAGTGAACCCCCCCCCAAAAAAAAAAAAAACCAATAACCACCCCCTTGCATTTTTCTACTCCTCCTGAACCATAATGCTAAAACCGAGAATAAAAATTTTGTGCTACCCCCCGTTGAGCTCCTTGAAGTCCAAGGTTGGTTAATAAGCAAGTAGCGAAACCTCCGCGGATGTGTGTATTCATACTCCAAACCCATGATAGCGATTAGGTATATACTCATCATCACTAATTCTTGTAACAAATGCGTCGGAGGTTAGTCATCTATGTCTCGGAGGTGGGGGGAAGCACAAGGTTTCAGCAGGGAGGGAGACGATAAATTCACCATGCGACTAATTGATCTAATTGATAAGAACCAAATCTATAAACTAAACCAAAAGCGGTTGGGGCAAAATCGACAAAAAAACAAAAACCTACTCGTACAAGCCACCCACACACACACCCCTCAACTATGCCGCTGCTAAACCTGAACAGGAAGGTTTCGATAGGATCAGCGGGAAGATTTCCCCGTAGTCTACCTGTAAAGAGGGTCGACCCAATCAGTACTCGAGTATGGACGAGTAAGCACTCAAAGTTCGACTGAAATATCAGATAAGTAACCTGGGCGAGCACGGTCCACACTGGACCCCGGGCGGGCGCCAAAGCGATCGAATCCGGAAGCCAAGCCCACCAGTGAGCGACCAAATTCCCGCCCTGCCGTGTTTCACCGCACCTCTGGTCTTGCCACTCTTGTGCATCTTTTTTTCTTCTTTCTTTTCATGTATCTCAACAACGCATCTTCTCCCCGGTGCGTTTGCCGCATGGGGGAATTCTAGATTTTTCTCGGTCAACCGTCCTTTCGGTTTCCACAATCTGCCGGACAACCGTCCGGCCCGTCCGTCGACTTCGACACTGCCAAGGATGTTTATGGTACCCGTGCGCGGCTTGGGGGATCTGTTGTCTTTTTTGTCTCTCGCCATGTTCCTGTTGTTACCAGGATACCGGGTTTATTTGTCCCCCCATGCAAGAAGTTATCCGGAAATACGAGTTTTGGGTTTTGTAATGTGACGCACGGACATTTTATGAATCCTTGTTTTCTGGAGAACTTTCTTCCATTTTGGGACTTTCTCTGGCTTGATTGAGCTCGTCAACTGATTCCCTGGGACGAGTAAGGTATCATACTGGTACCTATGTTAAATTTGGCTTCACCTTTCGGTTGGGTTTGTGGGGGACCGGGGGTGGGGGTTTCTTTTTTGACACTTTTGACTGCCGAGGGGGGTACAGTGCTGGTAGGCTACCGTTATGGGACCTGTGTTGGGGTGCCGGGTTGTCCTTTACTGTACAAGTATGTTATCGGTAGGGGTGCAGGATGTTGGAGAAAAAGAAGAGAAGAAGCGCGGGATACCGGTAGATGGACACTAATCAATCGTGCGCACGGAGCATTCTTTAGGACGCATTCTTCTTCCCCCAGGACAATCACGATATGGCATGAAGCGCATTCCATCACATGGATAGTGGGCAATAGTAGACATCTTATAGCTTTGGCTCAGATTACTTATCATTTGAGTAGGTTCGGGTTGGAATGGTTCAATGCGAGTTGGCGGAGGTAATCAATTCCCGAATCAGACTTAATCCAGAATGCGGTCTCCCGGAGCGAGAAACATCCAATTACTGCAATGGGTAAGTAATGATGATAAAATCCCCTCTAAAACGCTTTCTTGTTTATTTTTTAAAAAAAAACATTTGTCCAAACCGATAGGAATAATTCATCACGGTCCGCCCCGCTAATAAATGTTCAAACAATAAATCACCCAACGAGCCCAAAAATGGCCCAAGAAGAAAATCATTCAACATGTACTAGTACTTGTACCGGAGTGTAACATAGAATATGGACCTTGGTACCGTCACGTGTAACGGGTCCAAACTTCAAGGGCAAAATGGGCGAAACGACCTCCCACTCTCCGCCCAAAAAGTAATTGCGATAATCGAGATGATGGCGATCGTGATGATACTCAAGACTGACTACCCTGAGAATGCGCGCTCGAAACCTCCACTTGGATATCCGTCTTCACACCAATCCCGCTTTCCTCCCCAGCTCCCAAAATCCTCTCCTCACTGTTGCTCCGCCGAGAGCTCGTTACGTAGGCTGATGTTTCTCTTGGCAATTGCCCCATGAAGGTCAACTCGATATTCTTCTTACGTGAGGCCTTGCTCGCGCCGGAAGTGTATCCCGAAGAGGCCTTCGCAGAAGTCCTTTCCTGGAAGAACTTGAATAGAGGAGACAGCGTCGGTATGCAGGTTGTTGTTATCCCAACGTTCATCTCTATGGTTCCCCAGAGGACAAGCATTGTACTATTACCGTTCTTGGCGATGGTGAGAATTTGCACCATCCGCATCACCGAGCACACGGTGGTGAAGCCGAAGAGGGCGAAAAGGATGATTAGGACGGCCTTTTTGCGGTTCGTGATGAGGGTCCGTAGGAAAAGGGGGATTGGGAGGATGATTACACAGAGGTCGTAGAAAATTGTTATAGCTATTGTGTGTCAGTAAGGATTTCTATTCTCTCTCGTGCATTTTACTGGATGGGGTACTGCATTACCGGCGAGAGTGTAAAAAGTAATATCATTACGAAGGCATTTCCCAGGAGTTCGTGGCGACCATGATTTGTAGACCTATGGAATTTCCCCGAATAAATCGATTAGCTCCGGTGACCCCGACAAGTTCGATTGCTGACATGAAAATCCACGGCGAGTGGGGAACCTACAGGATTGCATTGAAACATCAACACCAGTGTCCCACCAATGTGCGCCAGCGTACAAGTGATGAGAACGGCCCATGTAATTCGCCTGTACACCCTCCTCTTCTCAACGAGTCTAAGATACGCAAAACAAAGAGAAACTTTGAAGCCCAGAACACCGAGCATATAGAATGGCCTTCCGGCAAAGTTTACCTGAGAGTATCTGTTCGCATTTTCCTTGGGTCGTAGAGCGAGTGGGAGACCAAGTCCCCAGCGCGTTTCTGAATATACTTGTCAGAGAGGCGCGGAAGAGAGGACAATTGAAAGGCAAGACGAACGTTCAATAGCAAGAGCGTTGTAAATCACAGAACATATCTGGTTCGAAAATTAGCATCTTGCGGAGGAGGGAGAATGTGAGAGGGGGGATCAAACAAACCGTGGAAGCAAGAATAACCCAGTCGTCGGCACCAAAAATCTTCAACATGTTCACCCGAACATGGCAACGCAGAGCAGTTGCTATCACTGCGACTACTGTCAAAGAAACGCACACGGGGATGATATGCGGCGCCTGGGTTTCGATGCCCGGATTGAGGTTGTGGACCCACTGTGTCATCGTTTCCGTGCTGTTAGTGTGGTCGAGGAATGAGCATTATTTTTCTTTTCTTACTCCTTCCTTCTTCTTCCAACCCTCCTACTCAAGGAAGAGGGGAAGGGGATGGGTGGGAACGGTGGTGGGATTTGTACTGAGCTAGGGCTACAAGGGTCTTGCACTCAAGGAGTAGCTGCGATGTAGTTGGATGAGATGATGTCGCAGTCTCGTGCTTAGAAGGGTTGATGAGGAAAGCTGTTGTGTGTGTGACATCTGCCGTCCCTATTATACCGAGGGCGATATACCTTTCTTCGTCCATTTCTATGTTTCGCTATGGGCTGGCCCCCCCCATCTCGCTTTCCCATCCTAATTTCCACCCCCTTCGACCTACCCCTTACCCTCGGTGGATTTTGGTCGGTGCTGGGTTCTGAGGTCGAATGCCAGGGGAAAAGTAGGATATGGTATCGCGAGGCGAATCAAGCAAGGGCCACATGACGCCCCGTGGTTAAGAGAACATAGTCTACCAGTATGCCACGATAGGATAGCTATATGTGGAAAATACTTGGGTTGTTTGTTTGTGGTGGGATGCGAGGGTCTCCTAGTTCCCGGTTCCTCTTCCGATGATTGGTGATTCGCTAGATGTGTTTAATCGGTATCTACGAAATCTAGTTCCAATTCCATCCGCCGGGATCGGCAATGCTGTCTTTTATCAAGAAAGTTTAACGCCCAATAGCTTAATGATTTTCGTCCCCACCCGTCACCGGGACATCCAAAGCGGAGGAAAGGGGCAAAGTGAAGAAAAGTAAAAAAAATAGAAAGGACCAGGTAAATATCACAATTCAAGGAAAAGAGGGAGCTGAACGAAAAATAAAAAAATAGAAGAGATTCAATCTGACCTTACTGAGACTCAGCCCTGTTTAAGGCTGGTTCGCGCAGCTGTTCCGGGGAGGAACAACATTTTCTCAACCCTCCCGGACCAAACCTACTACTATGATAGCTTAGTCCACTACTACAGGTTTCACTGTTGGTGCACCGATGTAACGGGTGAGTAGAAGTCGACGTTAGCTACTGTATCGGTACCATGATAAATAAAGCTAGTTCTGTGAGTGATTATTCCTCTTCTGTCTCCTTGTAGTCTGGTGCTTGGCATACGACCTCTTCCCCGTTAGGAAATAATAATAATAATAATAATAATAATAATAATAATAATAATTAATTCATTCCACACAATTAATTTCAACTTCAATTTTCATTGACCCCCCTGTGTTTCTCCCTGGGCGAGGGGTCGTCTGCGCTTTTATCGGTAGGGACAAGGATACTATGTCAGAGTATCTTTTCCGCCCGTTGGTGGGGGGTGGGGGTGTGGAGTGAAGGGAGGGTGGAAGGCAAAGTCGCGGGTCGCCGAACCCTTGTGGTCATGGTTGGATACAAGGATAGATAAATTATATTATTGAAGATGGAATGCAATACCGGTAACTGCCTAATAATCCTCATTGGTCCAGGTATAAAAGTACTGTACGAGTACAAATACCGTACTCGCACAACGGCTTGCTGGCCCGTGAGCTCTTGGATATTGTAGGAACTCTCCTTGCAGCTGATTATTATTCTTAAATTTTATCCCCCTCTTGTACTGTACCTCCTTCCCTGCCCTTCCTTATTCTCCCTACCTTGCCACTCAATCGCAGTTTTGATTCTTACCTCCTTGCTCTACCTCCTCTATCCCCTTGTCCACCCAGGTGCCTTTCCGCTTGTGACACCTTCTTAGGTTTCACTTGGGAGGTGAGAAGTTTAAAGGTAAATAAATCGAGAAGTGGCAGTTTGCCCTCACCGAGCTTTTACATTTTGTGCTCGCAAAATATTTTCGGCTACAGATCCTAATAATAATAGTAAAAAAGAAATTCTTGTGGCTTGAAAATACGACAGTTAGCTAGACCTGGACTGGACGGTGACCCGTTGTTTGAAGGGGGGGTGGGGAAAGAGTTGTTTACCCATAATACCGGTATTATGATGGTTCTAGACGAACTGCAGCACTATCCATTATTTATTTTATTCTCCCTTTGGGGAAGATTCCTTTTATCCCGCGCCATTTTCCTTTCCCTTTTGTCCCCTTCCTGTTCCTCGTGAAGTCGAAGAGAAGGTGACGTTAGCTACTGCTCCTTCATTGCCGTCAGTCGGTGATTGCCCTTTCTCGAGAATCCTCCTTCATACCACCGTCCTCCTAACCACCCCTCACACCCTATCCCGTCCGTCTCGCCTCACCCCATTCCACTTCGTCCCAACCACCCCCTCTGCTTTCTTTCATTCAGTGCGCTTTTTCTTTCTTGCTCATTACATAAGTTGTCAAAATGTCAGAGAAGCAGACCGGAACGGTCTCTGACCGATCGACCAGTGGTTCAATTCCGCCTGAAGTGGGTAATAACTCGAACGTGGATATCGCCTTAACCTATGTTAGAAACGTGGGCGCCGGAGGCGGACATGTCGGCCAGAAGGAATTGGTACGGAAGATCGATTGGAGGATCGTCCCAATTATGTTCGCCTGTTACACTATGCAGTTTCTTGATAAAGTTCTCATCAACGTGAGTCCCCCCCTTCTTTTTATAAACCTATAGAGCTGGCTTGATGGCTGGTCATTGATGAATAAAAATTTTCCGAGAGATGAGGAAATAATACCGGTTGGCTAACCAGTTATTTTGAGATATTTCTACCGGGAATATGTAGTATGCTGCAGTTATGGGTATGCCGAAAGACCTCAAGCTGAAGGGAAATGATCTTACATGGGCTGCCACTTCATTCTTTGTTGCGTATCTTGTTGCAGAAATTCCTACTGGTAAGACTCCCATTCGACGCATGCCTTACCGTACCTTGCTGCGCTATGCCAGCAAACAACGGGTGGAGAGTGAAGTACGTACCGGACAGTATGTCTAACCTCTCGTCACGCAGGCTACCTCTTGCAGAAAATGCCGGCCGGAAAGTATCTTGGGGCGAATGTAGTTCTTTGGGGTATCGTAACTGTCTGCACAGCTGCCACAAATAGCTTCACTGGCTTCGTCGTGGCAAGAGTGTTCCTGGGTATATTCGAGGTATGGGTTGGGGAATTCACCTAATGTGTTATGCCGGCTTCATGTTCAAAAAACCAGCACTAACAATTTCCGGGGGAGATAACTGCCTCAGGCTGCTATTGCTCCATGCCTTACTATTATCACTGGTAATTTTTCCCATGTTTTTTTATTGTGTGTTATGTTATAATATAGTTGCACCAATGAAATATACTCACGCTCCCCAGGAATGTGGTACACTACCTCTGAGCAACCGCCTCGCTTTGCTTTCTGGTACTGCGGTTTGGGTATAGGTCAAATCGTTGGTGGTCTCGTCTCGTACGGTATGTTGAAGCCTGTGTTTTTTCTCGTCATCATCAATTCTCGATCTGATTGAGACAACAACAGGCTTTCAGCAAATCAAGGGGGAATCATTGGAGGGATGGCGAGTCATGTTTATCGTCCTTGGGCTTGTTACAATCCTCATTGGGTCTGTGACATACCTCTTCTTGCCAGATACTCCAATGACGGCCTCGTTCCTCACGAAGGAAGAGAAAGTCGTAGCCATCAACCGCATCGCCGATAACCAGACCGGTATTGAAAACCGTACCTTCAAGTGGTCCCAGATCAAGGAATTGGCCATGGACGTGCAAATCTACCTCATAGGCCTAGTGATCCTTTTGGTATGTAACCCTCGGATCTACCCACATATGATACGCCTAATTCAATCTTCATAGGCCTCGATCTCAAGTGGTGTCATCACAACCTACTCTTCAACCCTCATCCGCAACTTCGGCTACACCCCTCCGATTGCCGCTCTTCTCAATATGCCATCCGGAGTTGTCTCCCTCGCTGTAACCATCCTTTCCGGTGTAGCGGTGGGTAAGGCCTCAAACAGATGGCTTTGGATCGCTGGACTTGCAATACCAGGGGCCATCGGGGGTGGCCTCATGTCTTTCTTGCCAAAGAGCAACCGCGCAGGTCTCCTCGTGGGAATTTACCTCGTCAATTCGGTATGGTGCATTTTATGTTTTGTTATTCCAGCCGAGCGGCAGAGATTTGTCTTATAATACGGTGGTGGAGTGCGGTAACTAATTTCGCGGATGCAGATCGTCTCTGTGCTGATCATTGTCTACAACTGGTTATCGGCAAACATCGCGGGTCACACTAAGCGCACGGTGGCAATGTCCTTAGTCTCTGGCTCATTTTCAATCGGGAACATCATTGGCCCGCAGACATTCCAAGCGAGGGACGCTCCAAAGTGATTATAATCCCCCTTAACAATTAAGACACTTTTTCTCCTCGCGCATACACTTATCATCCCTGCAGCTTTTATCCCGCCAAGATTGCTGTTTTGGCAACTCAAGCCAGCGCCGCTCTCGCGGCGATCGTGTTGAGGTTATATTACGGATGGCAGAACTCTAAGAGGGAGAAGCGCTCTGAGATTCCACACAGTCTTCCGGAGGATTACAAGTGGTTGAATTGTATGCCCCCCTTCGCTCCATTCTCTCGGCAGGAGCAAAATACTAATAATGGTACCCTCGCAGTGACCGACAAGGAAAACCCCAACTTTAGATATGTCTATTAGAAACAAAATCCAAACTTTCTTGTTGCTTTCCGGGCAGAGAGGTTGTTATTGTAGCGTGTTGGATTTCTGCCTTCTTTTCACTGTTTCACTCGTTTTTGATCCTCGCCTGGTGGAGTGCACCGTGCTGTGAGCTGCCAGGTCTCGCAAGTCAGTCGGCAATTGTACTGTACAGTACTATACCGTTGAGTCCCGAATAATTGGACCATATGCGACAATTCTAGGTGGTTCAAAATTTCCATCTTTAGAAAAGAGGCGAAAAGCAAAGAAATGTGGCGTTCAGCACCTCTAGAAGACAGGGAAAAAATGAAGAAAAAACTTGACCTTACTGGAGGAGGCAACTCGAACGACATAGCATACTGTCCAACTTTGAGGTTTTGTGGCGGTTGGGTGGTCTAGTCTTAGCATAGAATACGCGAAAAATGAACCAAAGAATTCTTACTAATAATTCCTCCCGTGCATCCCTTCCTCCCTGGTCCCGCTTCCCTATCATACTCGACGATTTTTAAAGTAATCGGCAAGTAATTTATCCACACCTGAGTAGTTTATGTAAGTAGGGCATTCAAGCCCATAACTCACAGGTATCATACTGTATAATTTCAAGCAAAGTCGACAGCTGCCAAGTCTAAGTTATACCCGTTCCGATTACTTTAAAAATCGCCGAGTATCGTACGAGTACATATTGCGGGCAAGATAGCCGTATGGGATGTCCCGATAGTATAAGTTACGCCACCCGCGCCCCCGCCGAACCGCCGCTCGCCGCTCGCCGCTCCCCACCTGCGCTTGGGGCCCGAGTGCGCGGCTCGCTCTCCACCCCGCAGCTCCACGATCCACACACCCATGCCCACTGAAAACGCGAAAGCGAACAAACTTCAAAACCAAAAAGCGGAGCGAACCAAAACCCAGCTAGGACCGGTTTACGCTCGCCTTTCCCTTTTTTGTCGGTGAGGGCGGCAAGGCGTGGAGTGCGGGGCGGTAGGCGCCGGCGGTGAAAAATTTCCATGCGCCGGTGGGTGGGTGGAGGTTTGTGGTACTGTAAGGCTCAAAATCTGGTTTGTGGATTTTTAAAGTCCTGCTAGTTGGTTTACTTTGATTTAGAGAGGGATGTATTTTCATTGGGGTTTTTGATTTGCTGGGAGCTAAAATGATAGGGTATGTTGGGTGGAGGAAGGGAAAAACTTTTCTTTCTGTATGTAGGGAGGTTTTCTCAACCTATCTTGTGAACGAAGTAGATAGCAACCAACAACGAACATTGAACTCCACAAAAATGTGAATCGAGCCAAACAAGTCTTAGCATGTGAGTGAAGTACACCAAGTGATAAGACTTTCCTTAAGAGTGCAAGGACCGATTGATACGAATTTTACGAATTGATTTTCTTTCCTTCTTTCTTAGTTTCTTTTTCGCTCAAACCTTCCAATTACAACCTTTTCACATTCACTTTCCCGAACCGAATTCTCTTTTTCTCAGTACCGGTACCCTATGATATCATGATCCGCTCGGTTTGGTGTACTCCATATTTCGGATGTTTCCGGGATTAAACTTTGCCGATCGGGGTTAATTAGGGTTTGAGACGGTGAGTTGGGAGCGGACGGACAAGGGATTCCTGCGAAGATCCCCGAAAGTAATCATACCTGCGCACACCGAACCGTCAGCATTCGAGAAACTGCTTTGAAAACCATTTCTGAGGGGGAGATATTTCCAAACTTTGGTATCATAATATCATTGTCTGTTATGTTTTTTTTAAATTTTTTTTTGCAGGTGGGTACAGTACAGTACAGGATCGGCGGTTAGAGTCGCTTTGCAGTAGACTGTCCGATGCGAGATGCCGATTCTGAGCGACGAGGGCGGTGGCCTTGTCTGTGGCCTTTTGTGAAGCGGGAAACTGCGGATCAACTCCGCTTGATTCTTTAGATAATTGTAGTAGATGAAGATATTGTGTCCACACAAGGGGAGGAGGAGATTCTTGTTTAGAATTCCTGCCCTGAGCTGGTTGAAACGCGTTTCATAAGTTTTGGTTTATAGGTGAAACATGTATCCGGTAATGGGTTACTAGTGAACACTAATTCTAGTTAATCTACAGATACAAGTAACCAAGATTGTAGAAGAATCACCATATTCAGATTCTATTACTCCTTTTCTTATATGGTCCTTTGTTATAGGAGAAAAAGTTCTACTTTTGGGATCATTGACTAGTGTAAGTGTTAGGTGGAGATAACCTGTATAGACTCAGAGTTGTCTAGGCCAACCAAGATACATTTCTGTAGATGGAGATTTGTCTAGGAAGGCTTAAGGTGACTCATTTCATTAATGACTACTGAGAGTAAAGTAAAGGAGAATAGAATCGTGCAAACAATATGTAACAGGGGCTTTCTGTGGGATGATGGATCCCAGGGTTGCGATCGCGCCACGATGAATTCTTCTGGGAATAATTATAATAAAATCTCAACATCTCAGCAATAGAGTCTGAAGAAACAAAACAGTAAAACTTAATATCATTAAGCTACAACTTTACTCAACTAAGTCCTGATCTCGAGAGGTAGTTGATTGTAAGAGTAGAGGAGAACATGCACATACTTAAGTAGATTTCATATACTGCTAGTTGCTTCCCATTACTACTCTGCATTCATGAGCACCCAACACCCTGGGGCTGTCTAGCTAATCTCTACTAGTCGGACCAAAGATCCTCCATGGTAAATTAAACTACTCTGTAGTTTGCTAACATCTACCTGACAGAAGTATTTTAGCTGCTGCATTGACAATCAAACTGCAGGAGTAAAAACTCTTCTTATCATGGACATGTTAGAGGTGAGCGGTCATGCCTGAGTAGATACAATACCTACTATGGAACTCTCTACCCATTTACACTTAGTCTCCTACAAGCATCCGCAGTTTTTGAATATCAATTCGGTTCTATTCTATTCCATATCATTTTCTGATTATAGCTATGTAGCTCTCCTACTAGACCACTTCAGAGGTTGACTACCAAGAGTCACTATGTACAGTTAAGCTTCCTAAAAGTAAGTTTCATTGTGATCTCAGACTAGTATCTAAGAGTCCTTAATGATTCGCTATATATTGTGCGTTGACAAAATTAACTGCGATTCAACAATCAGTGGTAATCCACCCCTCTTCATCATCCCGCACTCTCAACAGTACCTAAAAAAATTACTCTAAGCCAACTAAGAAGAAACCATTCTGCTCAATTGGATTGAGATCTGGTGAATAGGCGGGAATTTCTATTAGTGCAATTTCCTGCCCTCGGAGCCATCTTCTAAAACTCACTTGCCTTTTAGAAGATGGCTCAGAGGGTAGGGAATTACACTGATGGATATTCCTACCTATTCACCAGATCTCAATCCAATTGAAAATATTTAATCTCTCATGAAAGGTAAGCTTCACAAGCACTACCCTGAACTATATCTTATGAAGGATGATGTTAAAGTAGTTAAGAAGGTAATAGTAGAGGTCATCACTCATTGTTGGGAACTTCTTCTTAACTTAAAGGTTTTTGATACTTTGGCTGGATCAATGGTGGATAGAATAGAGGTAATTATTAAGGCTGATAGATGGTATACAAAATATTAATTTCTACTATGTACTTACATGTTTTCATTTTTCTTTGAGTTTTATTGATAGTGGATTGGTGGGTGAGTGTGGTTGTCATTGCCGAAGATTTTCCTCCATGAAATTGTGGTGAATTTTGTCCACATACAATAACCGTTAGGCGGAGACACCCTGATAGACTTCATTGTTGTTTAGGCCAACCAAGATTTGTTTCTGTAGATAGAGATTGTCTAGGAATGCTCAAACTTCACTCTTTTCGTTTATGACTACTAAGAGTGAAGTAAAGTAGATAGCACAGAATAGAATTGTAAAGACAATATTACATTATTAAGGTCTGTTCTCCATTGCTTGATGATGTCTAAAAGCTTAGAAGGCACTTCAATATTTATATTTTGCATCTGAGTGTTCACTGACTACATCTATTTATTATAAAACTATGTACCTTTCTGATTATAACTTGGAATATTGGGTATTCTTCAAAGGTGCGAATACCTGGAGATCCTGAAAATCACTACACCTGCTTCGGTAGTTGCAATATAGCTAACTGGGAATCATAGTATTCCCAATCATAATTAACTCATTGTCACAGACTTTAAACTTATAGCCTGCTTCTCAAGTTGAACTGAGTTGGCCTCAATTGTCTCAATCATTGATGAAATGATTAGTTTCCTCTACCGGTTGTATCTGCAAAAGTAGTTGTAATTGCAACCTTTCCAGGTCACCTGACTTCAATTCTTCATAGCTTTCTACTGTAATGTGTTCGCAAGGTACTAGTCATGTTATCGTTAATAGATACAATAGTTGGCAGGTAGCCTATGCTTCCCAAGAGGAGGTGAGAGATGAGAGTAAAAGGAGGCTTTGAGGGTGTACTGAGGAACAAAGAAGTAACCGTTCAACCAAGTATATTGAAATACTGTCTGTCAAAGTCTGCCTTTTCCATCATGGAATCAAGTGGTCTTTAAATACACAATTCTTGTTCATGTCTAGCATGAACAAAACTAATCAAAGGTATCAAGCAATACTCTTTCATAAATCAAACCAAGTATCAAAATGATACTTAAAATAATACATAAAACAAAACCAAGTATCAAACAATACTTAAAACAAAACATAAAACAAAGCTAAGTATCAAATGATACTTAAAACAAAACTAATAACCGTGTACCAGTCCCGGTTACATTCCCCAAAACAAAATACCTCTTTTAACAAACAAAACCTAATAATCGACAAATGTGGAGTCTGAGAAACTAAAGGCTTCAGTTTCCACTATCAGCTCTTCATCATAAGTGTCATACCAAGGACAAGAGGAAATCCTAAGGGAATATTTAGACTCAAAGAAATACGGATCACAGTAGTCACGAATACCAGATCCATACTGTGCATCTACCCAAGTGTTATTGCAATTAGGACAGTAGTCTATGCAGAGTACAGCGAAGTA